TCCAACGTGGAGAAATCGGACACCTTGAAGCGCAAGGTAGTGGAGGAGAAGAGGCAGAGGGAGCACATACTCCAGCTTAATCAGATACTGGCGAAGCAAGTGATGGAGAAAAGTAAGATGGTAGCGGGTACGTGTCCGACAGCATTTCAGAAAGCGACTATCTGCATGAATTTGTAATCGTCTATTATACGTAACAGCTGTGGCATGCTCGTTTCCGTTCAGCTTCCAGAAGGCGAGAAGCGTATTTTTTCATTTTCTTTTTCTTTTTTTTTTAAACCACATTCGACGCAACGGTCAGTCTTCGATATCGCTGGCGCGATGATTTTTGCCACTCCACCGCTCGCAGACGTTCGAACGTTTCAACGTTTCATCGTTTCATTCGATTTACATTATTTTTTCGCACATAATCTCCTCTCGGACACGCATGCATCGTCTCGAATACGTGCTCCTTTTTTAAAGATCTTATTAACGGCTTTTGCGCGAGACAAGCGAGTAGAGTTTCGTCTTATGGAATCTGGATTGTTGTCTGGACTGTTTTGTGCTTGTGTGTAGGTAACCAGGCACACTGATCGACATGCTTGCTCCATCCCCCCCCTATAGGACACGCACGTCACATTGTCATTTTCAGGTTTGTTTTTTCACCTTTTTTTCGTCTTTCTTTCCGCTACGTTTTTCCCCCCTCGATCGAGCTAAGCAGATACAGCCGCAATATTACTTTTGAATTGCGATTGCGTTTATTGAAATGGGACTCGCAGACGAACAAGAAATAAAGCTATGTAGAATATAGTAAAAATTGAAACGCTAACGAGACCCCATTTTCAATAAGCATAATGATCCGCAATATGTTAATATTGTGTAAATATATATTAGCATATTTATTATTAAATTTTCTATTAAATGTTACGTTAATGTTTATCTGAATATAATTCATCTACGATTGCTTTATCGCGTCCCGTTTGTCGGCAGTGAAAGCTCTAGCGACGCTTCCCCTGAGAACCGAGTCGAGCTTAGACGACGAGGACCTCTCGCCCGTGGCTCCTCTACCACTTTATCAGCAGCGAGAAAACTACTACTCCTAAAGCGTCGTCTCGGAAGAAAACGCAACACGGAAGCACAAACTACTGCCAACGCGAAGAGCAGGAAGACAAGAGACGGAAGGAACTCTTTTTCTCCTCCTGATGATTACTAACGAGCGGAAGTTCGCGCGTGGCGAGCCGAGAAAGTGCTTTTTATTCGCGCACTGATCGCATTGTACATAATCATCGACTAAGTAGCACGATAAGAAGTAGCTGTCATTGTTCGCCGACTCGACCAGAGCTCGTGCACGTGCGAGCATCCACGAAGAAGCGTATGAGGGAAGCGCAGGCGACGATCTACGCGACGGACAGGAACGTCAACCGCGATCGGAGCGAGCTCGTCTCCTTCCAGTCGATCGTCGTCATTTTTTTACTGACCCCGGCTCGTCCAGGTCGAGCGCTGGATATCTGCCGGAAATGTAATTCGCGCGCGACGAGGACCCGGAGATCCGCGCTCCCCGGGCGATATTCTCCGGCTTTGGAAGAACCTTTTACCGCAGGTCTCTCACGGCAGATCGCGGGAGTCGCTCTTTTCGAAAGTCCTTTTCACAAATCGTACAATCGGTACATTTGTACGAGCACCGAGAGACTGCGGGACACCTCTCTCTCTCTCCCCCCGACTGAGAATCTGGTTTTTGAATATACACCGTTACGTATACTGTCCCCGTTTTACGTACAATCATTTTCGCGATGCGAACTTTTATACGTCGACGTTACGGCGGAACTTGCCGCCCCTCGCCGAGGTCCGAGCGAGGCGGCGGTAACCATTAGATTTAACAGCGGGCTCTTCATTTTAACGAGGACAAACGCGTTGTAAACGCGTCCGAGATTAGAAAAAGGGTGTTGCTCCTCTTGACCCTTTCACGACCGAATTACCTTCCGTTTTTATCATTAACATTACTTTTTAAGAGTTTACGGGACATCCTGGCGTCCCAAGAAACTAGAGAAGCGAGCAGCGGGACCGGTCGTGAAGGGGCTAAACGAGAAAAGCAGAGGGGAAATTCGCACTAGAATAGAGAGCCCGAGTGTAGAATTTTCGCTCGTCGAGCTTGGCGAGAGCGAGCGCGAGGTTTACCGTGTAAAACTAGATTGTAAGGTACGATACGCTTCTGAAGCGCCCGTATTGCTATTAACGTTATACACACAGGATTTTTCACGGGCCATTGTAGCATGGCGTTTTAATGTTTAGAGCAATGTCGTGTCACGCATGGCCATGAGGGAGGAGTGCCAAATTCCTATCGCGAGCGATCGAGTGATCGTCAATTAAAAGAATCGCCGTAAGCACATCGATCGCGGGGTTGTCGCTGGGGCAGAAAGAAAGCGCGGAGGGAAAACAAAACGAGACCGTGCGGCGACGAGTATCCTGCGCTAAATTCGACTCGTCGACACTTTGAGACGAGTTCTTTTTCTTTTTATTGATATCGCGGTATCCTTTCATCATTCGGCAACGTGCGCCCCCTTCCCCCCGGCGTCGCGGTGCAATTTTGGACAGTTTTTTTATACACAGGGTGTATCTAAACTGGCGAAAAATATTTTAACGACTGGTACTTCGTAACGTTTTACGACAAACGTTCTAGTACCCGTTTCTATCAACGCAGTTTAACTTTAATCTCGGCTCAACTTTGTGTCTTTTTCTAGTTTTACGAGTTGGTGAAAGACAAGGAGCGATTCAAGCCGAGATTAAAGTTAATCTGCATTGGTAGAAACGGGCATAATACGAAAATGTCGAGGCTACAATAGTTTGGCGATCTCGAATAATGATCCTCCCATTTGAAAACTATTACAGCCTCGGCATTTTCGTGTTAGAACTTTCGTCTTAGGGCCAGTTTCACAAACATCGGTTAACTGTTAACTAGGGTTCACTCGACTCCCTATCCTTTTCCATCTTATTATTTAAGAAGAGACAGAGAATCGATGAACCTTCGGTTAGCAGTTAACCGATATTTGTGAAACGGGCCCTTAAAAGGTTACAAAGTACTTGGTCCTTAGAATATTTTTCGCCAGTTTAGGTACGTCCTGTATATAATATATAAATATTATGTATTAAATTATGTATAGTAAATTACATATACACGTGACATATAACATAATATTTTATGATGTATATTATATTGCATTATCTTACATTAATATATTATTTATTTATATATATATATCAAATTCATATTCAGTATATATACATATATAATATTATTTATACAGCTTTATTGCTATAATATACATGATATTATAATCTATTATCATATATAATACATTATTGTATGATAATAAAATATAATATGCATCATAAAATGCGTTAAATATCACGCTGCATATGTATAATACATTAGATTATTTCAATATGTGTTATATATATATATATATATATATATATATATATATATATTGAAAAGTTGCGTACAATTTCAATGAATTTATATATTGCTGGTCCAAAAAGAATCACGTAGAGCCGACGTAGAAATTAATACTTATTGTTAGTCGAAGTACAGACTCACCCCCGACGACCCGTGAAACTCCACCCGGATGCCGGAGGGACGACCGGCTCCCTTGCGCGTCCACCAACTTGAGAAACACAACCCGGACACACGCATACACACCGACTCCCGAGCTCTTAGCAATAAGTTTTTATAACGGTATAATCTACGCGCGCGCGACATACGCACGCGCGCGCGTACGCGTCACTGTATAGGCACGTAATATCACGACGTTTATCCCATGTACATAATCGCGCACGATTTAAAACGGCGCGGCGCGGTCGGGCAACTCGGAGAGACGCCGGCTGTACGCTTTTGCTCCCCAAAAAGAAACGCGACGGTCACCTCTCGGCAAAAGTCCGTCGCACCACCCCCGGCGCCGACTTCGAGAATCGCAGGCGCGCGGTCGTCGATAGTATCGATAATCGCCGATGCGCGCGCGAATTCGAACGCCGCGCCGCGCCGCGCCGGATCCGGTTTCGTAATTGCGACGTCACGGATGTCGCGGGATATTATTAAACGCACTGTATGCGAATTACCGCGGGACAAGAAACTGTTATTGTTATAACGAATGAAATAAAAGTATGGCGAGCAAGAACGGCGGGGTCGTTTCTTCCATCCTCCCCGTAATCGAAGGTTGAACGGCGTCGATCGCGCGCTTGTTTGATAAAATATCACTGGTACCCTCGAAAGAAAATTTGGCGAATGCGGGATTAACTGTTTCGGTCAAACTGTGAATTAGCACAACCCAGTGAGAAGTGATTCGTCGATTCGACATCGATCAACGAGTCATGTCTCGCTGGGAATGTGTTGAAAGTAAACTGCGAAAGGATTTCTTTTCGGCGCGAATTCTCCGTAGGATATAAAGAGAATTACTTTTGTATCCGAAGAAGCGCTCAGAATTGGCGATATAAAAGCGAATTCTTTTTGAGCGCCTGAGAACGTTTCTAGAAATGAGTTGGAAAGGGATAAAATATCTCTGGTACCCTCGAAAGAAAATTTGGCGGATGTGGGATTGACTGTTTTGGTCAAACCGCGCGCAAATGATCGTGATGCAAACTTAAAAGTATTCACTTTTTAAAATTCTCTGTGAATTAGCATAACCCAGTGAGAAGTGATTCGTCCATTCATTTTATAAGTCGGAAATTCAAAGAGAACCCTTGACATCCACGAAGTTTTATTATTTGTCACCTTGCCCTCATTTATTATCTTCTCTCGTTAACTGAAACTCCGAAATTCTTTTCTCGTGAACTCGCAACGAATTTACACGACTTGCGAGTCAAAATTTCCGAATTAAACCTACTCCTCCCGCGAGGTGAGAATTAAGCGAGAGAACCGCTGGGAAGAGAGCGAGTTACGAGAGGAACTTGATCTGACGCCCGGGTAGCCTCGCGATCGGTCAATTGACGAACATAGCGCACAGCGAAAAGGTCAATCGGTTTGAGGTCACGGCTCGCTCGCGGGCAACATCGCACGGTGGTCTCACGTGAAAAATGGCGCACATGATAAGATCCGGGCTCGTGCTCCTGTCACTGAAGCACGCCAGCCGCGTCGCGCCCCGCGTCTCCGTGCCCTTAAAGTGTCAACGATTATGCTTCCGCACCAGCGGTGTCCTCGACGGTACGACATTTATTCAAGAACCACGACTTTCCGCCCCGCAATTCCCGTCCGTCGACTTGGAGGTTACCTCTCGATGAAAGAGGAGACCGAGCTCGACGCGAAATATCCGCGAGAAGACGAAGCTGTCACGGCGCGAACGTCCGACGTTCGCGTCGAAGACGAATCCAACGCTCCCCGATCGTAGATCGGGCCCTCCTGTTGCGCTCGATAAACAAATTTTCGCGTCCTTCTGGTTATGCAATCGAATCTTTTGATTTTCACGCGATACCTGGCGATCAACATCCCCTTCGGCGCAATGCGTTTCCTTCCCCAGCGACTCTCTCGCTTAAATTTTACCCTACGGCGGAGAACACGCCCGTTTTGAAGTATTTTACCTGGTTACAATATTTAAATCTGTCGCAAATTTATGATAATACGATTGGTGCTCTCAATTTATGCGGCCAAGACGTTGACTGAAGGGACTGTTTGCTTTCAGTGACGGGGAAGGAATTGTTGATGCCGTCTTTGTCGCCCACTATGGAGAGCGGCACCATAGTGAAGTGGTTCAAGAAGGAGGGCGACCGGATCAATCCCGGCGACGCTGTTGCGGACATTCAGACAGACAAAGCCATCGTCACGATGGAATTCGACGACGAGGGTGTGCTGGCAAAGATAATTGTGAGTAGCCAAATGTAGCGGCAAATCAGTCAAATCCACGTCTACGCACTTTGTACGAATTGCAATGGGCTATGTTGATTAGGTGCCCGAAGGAACCAAAGACATTAAAGTGGGGACTCTGATAGCTCTCACTGTCGAGGCCGACGAAGACTGGAAAACGGTGGAAATGCCGGGCGGTGCTTCGGCGCAGGCACCTCCAGCGGCGTCGGCGCCGCCAGCGTCCTCCGCTGAGCCAAGCGCGCCTGTTGCGAGAGCGGAACCACCACCCGGCCAGTATGATCCTTTAATGTGCTTCATAGTTATTTGCGCAAACGATGGCTTGTACGTTTGGGAAGCCACGTTCTCAAAAACTGTCCTTGTACAATTTGTCTAATTTCCAGAAACAACATCGCCATGCCCGCCCTATCACCAACCATGACAACAGGTACAATCGTGAAGTGGCTGAAGCAGGAAGGTGACGAGATACAGCCGGGTGACGCGCTGGCGGACATACAGACGGATAAAGCGGTCATGAGCTTCGAATTGGAGGAGGAAGGCGTGCTCGCGAAAATTCTTGTAAAGTTCTTGTGTTTAATTGCGAAGGGAGAAAATCACGTTTCTTCCTTGGATCAACTAATACTGTCGGCTGTTAGGTTCCGGAAGGCTCTCAAGTAGAAGTGGGACAGCTGATCGCCGTCATGGTTGAGAAAGGAATGGACTGGAAGCAGGCTGTTGTCCCGACGTCGACTAAACCGGCACCGTCCGCAGCACCGAGTCCCGCTCAACCGGCTGCTGCCAAAGCACCGTCGAGCGGGCAGTGCGTATCAATCTCTTTAATAATTCATGGTCACACTAATGTCGTTTATCCATCATTTATAAATTCAAGTGTTTCGTTAAATGTTGAATATGTTGTCCTCCGCACAGAGTGTACGGTTTGGCGGTGAAGAGGCTGCTGGAGGAATATGGCCTGAGCTCTGGCTCAATCAAGGGCACTGGGCGCACGAATCGTTTACTGAAGGGCGACGTTCTCGCGCATATTCAGGCGCACAACGTTAAAAAAGTCACGCCTAAATCCGGTAAATACAGGGCATTCGAAAAGAATGGCACGATCCCCCCCTATTATCTCCAGAAGTAACTCTGTGATATTTAATATTTTTATTTAACGGTTATCTTTCTCTAGCACCAGCTCCGGAGACTGCGAGGGCGCGTTCTCCGAGTTCGGAAAAGATATCTGTCCCGGTTGGCCGACCGTCTCCTTACGAAGACATCGAAATATCTAACATTCGTGCCGTTATCGCCAAACGGCTCGGAGAGTCGAAGGTACGTTGCGACAGAGTTTTTCCCCATGAAATTTACTTATTTGTTTTAATATTCAATCGAAACTACTTTCCAGAGGACTATACCGCACGCTTACGCGGTCGTGGATATAAATATAGACAAGTTGCTCGAGCTCCGCGCGAAGTTAAAGACTGAGAATATACGTGTTTCAATTAACGACTTTGTTACCAAGGCCGTCGCTCACGCGCTTATCGAGTGTCCCGATATAAACACGTTGTATCAAAATGGACAGGTTAGCACGATTAGTTTTAACATTGTGATACAATTGCGCTGGGATGCGCGACCCAATTACAACACTAACAATCGACCGGTGTTAGATCGTTCGAGTTCCAAAGGTGGACGTGTCCGTAGCAGTGGCGACGAAAACGGGTCTGATTACTCCGATAGTGTTCGACACTGCCACTAAGAGCCTTGCGGATATCGCAAAAAATATTCGAGAATTGGCTGAAAAGGCGAAGCAGGGGCAGCTCAAGCCACACGAGTTTCAAGGAGGAACGTTCACGTAAGGCCCTAACGTCCGAGAACTATGTGCACGCGCGCGTTTATACGCACGTACGTACACGCGCAATTTTGTTGTGCAGAATTTCGAACCTGGGAATGTTTGGTATCAAGGAGTTTTCTGCCATTATAAATCCTCCACAAACGGCTGTTCTAGCCGTAGGCTCGGGACGAGAAGAGCTGGGTAATTTTTTTGAAGATCTTGTAAACGACACCTAACTGATTTCTAACCGTAACCGACGATACTTTCGTAACGTCTTGCAGACTCCTCGTTAATAAAGGTAACAAGAATGGCAACGAGGCTGTCGTACGATAGACGAGCGATCGACGAGGATCAAGCGGCCGAGTTTCTGGCTATTCTGAAAGCAATGCTGGAGGATCCAGCTTTTCTCGCGGCTGGCAGAATGCAGGCGCTGAGGTACAAACGCGACGCGTATTAATCGCTCTTAACCAAGTATTCAACTTGTTCGACGTTTCGTTTATTGCAAAAACAGCTCGTTTTCTTGCATCAAGAGAGATGAGTATCATTCATTGTAACTGTGTTACTATGTTTTTAAAAAAATAGAATTTAAGTAGGAAAGAAAGCTCAATATTAACTATACTATTGTGTATATAATTGTTGGCTGTTTTTGGAATAAACGTAAGTAATGTTAATCCTATTTTCGTGCCATTTATGTGATCAAATAGAGAAGACGACTTATATTTATATGAACTTATATTTATATTTATATGAAAGCGTTTTACAAACCGCTCGTCGCTGTTATTAGAAACTGTGACTGAAGGGACTAATTTATATATTACTGCCAAAATAATATTGAAAGCAATCAATTATGGACATATTCTTTCGGTTTCGTAAGTTAATTAATGGAAACGTTGATTAAATCTTAATCTGCGAGTCCCGAAACGATTCTTTACATTTCTGAGCATAATTTTTATTTGTCAAAGTTTTTAATTTACTGAATTACGGATTAATATCCATAAAAAGATTGAGAAGTGTCCATTATTGTATTCAATCTTGTAAATAATTACAATGTTCATATTTTATATAAGTCTACTTTTGTAAATATCAGCAAATTATTGGCCCTGTGATATGGGAGCGGTATGCAAGATGTACATCTTCTGAGTCAAAGTTATGAAATATCAGTGTCTTTAGTGTATCATTTACTATAAATATTTAAATTATTAGACATTATTTTCGCCCGCATATTTAGAAATTCGTGTATGTTCGAATGAAGCACTCACTTCCGATTAATTTGTTAATTGGAAATATATATATATAAAATAAACGACTCACTTGTATATAACCTTATAAGTTAAATAGAATTATCGGCAGTTTAATGAAGAATTTATCTTCTCAATAAAATATTTATTGTCTAAATATACGTAATGTTTTACGGATGTATCGTCTTGGTGTCCATTTTTCTCCTCTATCCAACGTACAGAAAATAATATATTACATTATATACGATTCTCGAAGCCGTTACAGCATCTTATTTGATTTTTTTTTTACTATAATCACAACTTCGCACGTTACTATCGTCTGATAATATTTTTGTGCCTATTATTAATTAGAAACGTATATTTACCTAGTAAGGCACAAATATTAGAATATCGTACGTTATGCGCATTTCTCGCATTAAAAATTTGAATGGTCTTTTCGAAAACTCTTTGAATATATCTTATCAATTAATAGAACCTACAAATAACAATGCATTTTTTATTTCGAAGTCGTGCAAACGATTACAATACTGTTTTAATACATTAGCTTATCGGCACATGCGTTAATGTGTTATATGATCGAAAGATAACACTTGGTCCTGCTTAGAATGTACAATAACTATACTTTGAACTATTGCCGCGACTTAATATTTCCAGTATAATTTAACATAATGTATATGGTAAAACACAAAAATTATACTCTATAGAAATATTAATACAACTTAACTTTCGTTTATCACAGTCGTGATTTTATATATACTTGATATTACTTGCTCGAATCATCTTAAATATCTAGATATCCTTTCTTTACAGTAATCCAATCGTATTACACGTTTAGTCAATTTGCATTTTAAATTATGCTATGAACATTTCAGTTATATACATATGGGTTATTTAAAAAATATATAGCTATATGTGATTATTATGTTTGAGCAATACCGCGCTCTTAGAAGATACAAAAAGTTTTCAAAAAGGTGTACGTTTTATAAAAGTAGGGATAAAAATCTTATAAAACCGTGTGTACGTGTGCACGCGCGTGTGCGTCTCGGTGATTTTATAAAAATGCATTGTACGGTGGTTGTCGTTATATAATTCGTAATGGTTTTACTATTCAACAGATTGCCTTACAATGGCAATCAATGTCACTCAATTTCTTGCGTAAAACAGCTTAGATAGTCAAATAACTTATCTTATAATTCATGTTATCGTGGGCCTTATCCAATTTATTGTTCTGGGAAAGAGCATCTGATTTAGCGGGCTCTCATTGTTATCAGAGATAATATAATTGACTCGATTATTGTCTTTCTTGCCCCTTAATGTTTCTGTACAATGATCTAAGTACAGTTTTGTAAAAGGAGTAATTACCGAGTGTTCTCTATGACCCTTTTTGTAACTGCTATTAAAAGTATCTCCGAACATTGTATGTATTCCACTCATCCTTCAAAAAAGCATACAAAAGTGCATTCCGTCCACAATTATTTACAGCTAAAACGTCCGTTGTTCCGGCAAATACTTAACCTGAGCGGCAAAATGCCCATCCACCTAGTCATTGAGCGGAAATGTACCCGAGTTAAATTCTAATTCATCATGAATCGTATTGCACGTAACGAGGTGAGTGGCTTCTTTTGGAAGTCGATAAACCGATCTGAATATTTCCACCAATGATTTCCACGATACCAACTTGCAATAATAATAAACGTGACGTACTTAAGTAGCACAAGTCGAAGGTAACTACTTAGGTTCATTTTTTAACAACGATCTCATTTGATTACAATAACTTAAAATGACTATCAAGCGTTGTTACCGTGCTTTGGTTTTGTACACGTGTAAACCAGCACAGCGAAATAAAAACGAAGGGCAGTCGAATAAATTGAAGACATAAAAATTGCACGTGCAGTAAGAACAGAAAAATTTCTCCGGAGCTTTCAGTTAGCGTATTTTCCCCTCCGGCGCAACGTGACGGCGATGAAGTATCGTGAGACCGGCGTATCGCGAGTGTATCGGTATGAAAGTGTTTTTCAGGAATATTTAGCGAAATGCCTTTTGCAGAATTCTCTGCGCCGCGCGGATCAGCGGGGTCAGTGTGGACAATTCCGCACAGTTCTCTAGGAATGGATGCGAGAGCAGCTCTTCGGCGGTCGCTCGCTCGTCGACCTCGACGGCGAGGCATCTCTCCAAGAAGTTCTGAAAGGTCGGGCTGAGGGTGTCCCACCTCGGGACGGAGGGCTTGCCGATGGCGGCGATCAGGTATAACGCCCTCAGTGGCGTCTCCTTCATGTAGGGCGGCTCGCCCTCGATCATCTCGATCGCCATTATACCCAGCGACCAGATGTCCACCTTCTTGCCGTACTGCTTCCTCGTCACCACCTCCGGCGCCATCCAGTACGGCGTGCCGACCATGGTCTGCCGCTTCTCGTCGCCGTCGATGTTCGCGCAGAAGCCAAAGTCCGTGACTTTGACCGCGCCGTTCATCCCCAGCAGCACGTTGTCCGACTTGATGTCCCTGTGAATGATGCCCCGGGTGTGCAGGAAGCTTATCGCCTTGAGGACCTCCCGGCAGACGGCCGCGATCTGCACCTCCTTCATCACGGTCTCGGTGACCACGTCGGTGAGCGGGCCGCCCTCCAGCAGCTCCATCACCACCCAGAGGTGCTCGTCCACGAGGTAGGCGTCGAGGAAGTTGACCAGATTCGGGTGCTGAAACTCCTTGAGAATCTTGATCTCGGTCAATATCAGCTCTTTCTTTGGTTGCTTCGACAGGTCTATGTCCTTTATGGCCACCTTCCGACCGTGCTCCAGGTCGGTGGCTATGAACACAGTCCCGGAGGCGCCGGCGCCCACCTCTCTCGTTCTCTCGAAGCGCAAGTTGGGGTCGCCGGGCTGGCAGATGGTCCTGAGCTCCTCGTACACCTGTTCGTCACTGAGCCTCACAGCTGACTCCGTCTTCCTCCGCAGGATGGGACTCTCTTCTATTCTGCTCGGCGCAACGTCCTCCTCCTCCTCTTCCTCCTCTTCCTCGCCCCGTGGCGGGTCCTCCTCGCAGTCGCTGATCCGAAACGTGTTCAGATCCTCCAGTATCTCGGTGAGGCTCTTCTCCGCCCGGTCGTTGCATCTGCGCGGCGCCGGTTTCGGCGGCTTCGGCGGTTTCGGCGGCCTCGGTGGCCTGTTCACTTTCGGCGGCAGCTCCGGCAACGTCCGCTCGTCCGTCGAGCCCCTGTCGCAGGCCAGGCGATCGTCATCGGACGCGCCCGACCGGTATTTGCTTGTCAGGATGTTGTCGATCGCCTGCGACTCCTCCTCGATCAGGTCTTGCGTGACGAACGGCTTGAAGACCTCCTGATCCTGCGGCCGACGCTTGATCGAGTAGTTGTAGAACTTGATGGCGTGCAACGCCGCGTCCGGGTGCTCGTCCTGCTCCGACTTGGAGATCTGCGTGTTGAGCAGGCGTATCCACGGGTCCGGCAGGCCCTCAAGCTGCCCGGTCTCCGCATTCTTGCTTACGTGGAACTTGTGCGAGACGTTGGTCGGCAGGCCGATCTCCGCGGCCACGGTGTCGACGGCGGGACCGCTCCGTTTCTTCGAGAACAACTTTGTCAGACTGAGGCTCATCCTCGCGTCCCTTCGCAACCGCGCGAGCGACGATCTTCCGAGTGGGAAAGGAGAGAAAGAGGGAAGACAGCGGGTGGATCTCTGCGATCTCAAATACTTGCGATACTCATGCTAACGCGGATCCTCGTCCGCCACACAAGGATCATATCGTCGCGAGTCTCACACGCCCGATTATTACATTACACGCCGGCGGACGGACGTCGTCAGGGCTGACGACCGTCGTCTAGTGACGACGATCGTCACTAGACGCGATGTTCCTAGCGTCGCGAGGACAATTGGTTAGACGCGCGAATCGTATTTGAATATTTGAATTGAAGTGAATCGTATTTGAACCTGACCAGGTCGCAGCTTGTATTCAAACAAGTTACAGTAAAAAGATTTAATTAGGTTAAAATTGTGTTCCAGTAAATCTACTAATTTCACGTTTACTTCTATTAAAACGTTTGCTACACTGAAAAAAAAGTCTGATAGATTCAACCAGTCGTCTGTTAAGCCTTGTGTCCACGATCCAAGAACTTGG